GAAAAGGAAAATGAGGAGCTGATTCCAGGAACCCAAGCGGAAAACGAATTTTGAGAATGATGAGGGCAACAAATGTATAAGTGTGCTGTGCACAATTGATGTATGTATGGATTGTGTTAAGAGCTGTATGAGCCCCAATAAAATGATTTATACTATATATATATCATTGGTTGAATCAGGCACACCTTAATGCTCAAAGTAGCACTCTTGCTTTTCAATACACTAAAAAGGTCTGGTGTAGCAGATCTACCAAATGCATCTTGTCTTTTGATCTCTTGACTGCTGCTTCCGTCAGCATGGGTTATGGATCCAAACAAGTCAACATTCTTAACAACTTTAAACTTTTTTCCGTTTATCATCATTGTGACGTTTTTGGTATTCTATACATTGAGTTGAAATTCATCATGAAGGCTGCAATCCTTGACCTCCTTGACCTTTATCAGCAAGTGATTCAAGTCAACCTCACTTCTAGCAAGCAGAATTTTACTTACATGCAATATTATTCAATAATTATTTTACCTGTGTCTTATTAACTATGCAAATGCATTTGACTTTTTGGATCCTACATAACAGATGGATAACAAATATTATGAGGAACGGGAATTCTTGAATAGTTAATTGTGCTAATGCAGAATCCAAGGTTCCAAGTTATACTGAATGGAAATCAGGAAAGCTGTGATTCCAGATTACATTCTGCCACCCTACTTAGTATATATGTTGAGAAATAGTCCAAAAAGTGCATCAGAGGCTGCTAACCACAACAAACACACTGCAGCACTGAAAGTTTTTGAGATTTAAATTAGGAAGTAATGATTTGGTGACTATTCTTATCTAGCAGGATTAGGCAGATTTACACTGTCATAGAGAAGTTTATGGCAGGCTGTGTTAGGCAGGATTCTCTAGAGAAACGAAACCTGGACATTTGGAATTTAGATAGATATTATAGATAGGTTTATACAGCAAGAAGGAATATAACAGCTAATTAGTTCACACAGCAGTACAGAGGGTTCATTTCAACACACTTCCGTGGAACAGTTGATACACTGGAATTCCTTCAACTCGAGTAGGCTGCGGGGTCCAAGGTCAAGGAAGCAGACAGCAGAGTCCTCCCTAAGGAAAGGCAAGCAGAGTCTGCCCACGGGCAGCAAGCAGCAGGGTGGGTCACCAACAGTCAGTAACTTGGGGAGCTTAGGGAAGCAGGCCCAGATGGGATATGGAATGCAAACAATGCAAGGTGACAGGACCAACCAGCCTCAAACTCAAGTGATGTACGCACAAGTCTCAAAGGAGCCTCAAGCTCTAATGACAAGATCCATGGGTTGACCTGGCCCACAGCTTTGTGGCTCACAGGTTAAGGCAGAGAACTAACTCCAGCAGCAGCATGCACACTCCAGCAGCTCCCATCACAAGAGAGCAAGAGAGGAGGGCAAGCCTTGCAGAGCCATTTATCTCTTTGCCCTCCAATCAAACTGCGACCTCATTAATCCCACATGTTCCTATTGGCCAGTTCGGCACAATAAACTTACCTATCACACAGGCTCCTGCACTTTCAGCCAGGCTTTGGCAAAGACCCAGGTTTTTCCTCCTTCCTAAAATAGAAGGCAAGTTCTAGGATTTGATACTCCCTGCCCCTCCCCTAAAGAGTAGGCTGGGTTTTTATCTTGGAAGCCCTCACATTCCCAACAGTTCCAGTTCCCTCCACTTTCGTCTTTCATTTTTTCCTGGATTTCCTCTTCCTCTGAGACATTTTAACCCATCCATCAAGGAGTGATGTCTCCTGCTCTTCTATTGGCTGGATTTAATTTTAAAAATCGGCTTTCTGAGATGCTCACTCTCCTAACAGTTGCTGAAGACAAAAATGGGTGCATAGCAAATGTGGTGAAGAATGTGGATGGTGTCCTGATATAAAAAGATACAGCATCTGGGGTCTTAACAGCTTGAATTTAAACAAACGGCCATTCAGCAGAGAAGCAACAAGTCCACATGGAAGAAGCACACTGCTGGTGCCTTCATGAGGAGTCATCAGAACCAGGTAATAGGCATCAGAAGACGCACAACAAACAAACAAAACCAAATTGTTGAGAACGAGGGGGAGTGGAGTAGAGCCCCAAAGCCCATCTGTAGACAATGGAGCCATCCCCCCACAAAGGGGCCACAGGAAAGGGATGAGTCAACGAGGGTGCAGTATAGCATCGATGAAACACTCAATATCCCTCTGGTTCCTTGAGGCTTCCTCACCCTCCACTATCATGATCCCAGCATTGCTTCCCAATTCAGACAAGCCTGGAGCATGTACACAGGTATAAGAGATGGGGACTCATGACACAGAATCCAGGAACAGAGTGGAACTAGCGCTACCAGAGGGTAGAGAGAAGGCAGGGAAAGGAAGGGAGAGAGGGGGAATCATCACAATGATCGACACATAACCATACACCCCTCTCCAGGGGGAAGAACAGAAAACATGGGGGAAGGGAGACTGCGGTCGGTGTTAAGATATGAAAGTAATAATTTATAATCTAACAAGGGGGTATGAAGGTGGGGGTGAGTAAGGGGGGAAAAGGAACTGATACCAAGGGCTCAATAGAAAGTAAATGTCTAGAAATGAAGGAAGGCAACGTATGTACAAACATGCCTGATGCAATTGATGTGTGGATTGTAACAAGAATTGTAACGAGTCCCCAATAAAATGATCTTTTAATAATAATAAAATCTTGTTACAACGAGGGACGTGTAATCGGTGTGAAGATGTCGTTCCTTCGGGGTGACGTGGGGGGCAGTATAGCAAAGCTGTTGCAGCTAAAGGGAAGCGTGTAGGGAAGAGTCCCTGCTCGTCCGCGGAGACTACATTTCCCAGAGGGCCCCGCGCTCGCGGCGCGCGGCCGGCGTCGCCGAGGGGCCGACGGGAGACAACATGGCGGTTTCGCCGTGAGGACCCGTCAAGGTAACCGCTGCTCTCTCCTCCGCTGGTCCAGTAGCTCCGGCGAGCTGTGCGGGCCCAGCAGTTTTATCAGCGCTGTCGAGGTCTGTCTGTCGGCCGGTCGTGGCAGCAAGAAGCCGCCTGCATCCCCAGGCTCCGTCCGTCCTGCTGAAGGGCCGGCGCGTAGACGCGCGTCCCACGCCGGGCGCTCCTCGTGCCCGCCCGCTGTCCCGTGAAGCTGGTGGAGCGCGTCGCTCCGGGGACCGCTTCAGGTTGAAATCTTCCGTATCTGCCCGAGGCGGCCCGCCTCTACCCCTCGCGCCCTGGGAGACACCGTAGCTTTTACTTTGGTGTTGAATTTTGGGCCAAGGGGTCGTTCCTTCTGAAATCCTCTGCCTGGCCTGGATGATCTCCCCCCCAACGCGTGTCCTTGCAGGGACCTTGAACAGTGGGCGCCCAGCGTTCCCCTGTGTCTTTTGCTCTTGGACTCCCAAGACACGGGCCTGTGTCCTACCCCTGCACGAGCAGAGTGCCCGCCTCTGAGCCTCGGGTTTCTAGCTGTGGAATGGGCACGCCTACTTCACAGGCTTGAAGTCCGAGCACAGACTGTCAGCGCGGATTGTAAACCCCAAAAGCACGTCGTATGGATTGGGGATGAGCAGTGCTCACGTACTGGCTGTACCGGGAACCAGCACGTACCGTTTTGTCTAGAAAATAAGACCACCTGACCTGTCTCCTAATTCCATTTTATCACGAATCAAGTGATGGGCATAGCCAGCCCTCGAGGGATGTAGCAAGTGTCTACGTGGAGGTTGTGTCGATTATCCCTATCTTACCTTTGGAGAAACAGGCTGACCAAAGCATTCCAAGTTTGTAAGGGACTGATCTGAAGTCCTTGGAAGCAAACTATTTAAATTCTGCATTTTAGTTTCAATACGAATCAAAGATGCCTTTCAGGATAAATATGATTGTAAAATGAATCGGTGGTGGTGTAAGCACCTTGGAAAGTTACACTTATATAAAATCTTACATACAATGATGAAACTTTATGTTGGACTTTGGTACATTTATATGTGTACCCTTAAATCAGTTTTAATATCCTAATGATAGGCTTTCCTATTTAACGTTTCACTTAAATCAAGGGCAAAAATACTCCTTTAAGTGGTGCAGTAACTGGTAGGTTGGACCCAGAAGTGTGCAGCGCAGAGAGGATGCCCTCATGTAATTTGTGTGTGGGAGTCTTTAAGGGCGCTTGCACATTGGTTGACTACCCCAGTAAGTGGAAAGCATAGCATTGGAGTGCTCAGGAGCTTGTATTTAAGAAAAAGGAATAGCTGTCTTGTGGTTTCTGAGTTTATGTTTTGTTGATGTTGCTCATTGACCTATTGTTAAATTGCATGACACTGTAAAGTTGTTTAGAAGCCGTACTTTAAGTGACTTTTTCTTCTAGGTATTCATGTCTATCTGTAGAAGTAAATACGAACTTTTTGAAGCCCCTTGTATATTGGATCAAGGAGTTCTGGTGGCCTCGTGGTTATGTGTTGGGCTAATTGCAAGGTCAGCGGTTCAAAGCCACCAGCTGCTCCTCAGGAGAAAGATAAGGCTTTTTACTCCTGTGAAGAGTTACAGTCTCAAACTCACAGGGGCAGTTCTACTCTGCTTTACAGGGTCCTTATGAGTTGGAATCCGCTTGATGGCAGTGAGTTTGGTTTGGTTTGGTACACTGGATCACTTGACTCTCAGTAGCACTGCTTTTGTGTCTCCAGCAGGGATGAAAATAGATGTGCCTGGAAGCAGATGTTTCAGTTTCTCTGCATAACATCTTTTGCCATACTGTATGATACACGCATCTTGGTCCACCATGGCAGTAGCAGCAGTAACATGGGCACTATCAAACAGAACTGTCCTGAAACATTTCTTATCAATTCGAAGTAAGTGATGTGTTTTAATATTTTAAAAAGTCAGAAACTTTTCCTAATGTTATAGGAATGTGTATTACAGAAAATGCAAAGCGTTTAGTGTTTTGCCTGTACCTTCTCCTGTATGTGCCTGCTAAATTGCTAAATGTTGGTAATGATGGGAAAAGGGTAGAACTCCTAAGTGCCTATCGAAAGGATAGTCTTTCCTGTGAATATCAAGCAGTAACTACCAACGTGGAAAGTTCTTCAAATAGAAGAGGGAAAAAAGATCTCTCACTGAACAATACCACTGGTGTGATTCCACTTGCGTAATGAAAAGATGATCTACCATGTGGTTTCGTATGTGTATATGTAGATGTTTAAATGCAGAGGTCTGGTCTAAACAGTGGTTTCCTGTGCTGAGTACAGTGGAATTTCACTGAGAGCAGGAGATCAAGTAGTAACCATTGTGTGAATCATTTGTACTTAGTATGCTGTCATGTATTTTAAATAGTCCTTAAATAGTTTTTTTTAATTAGCAAATAAAGGGCACATTTATAGACCTTGCGTGCATAAATAATCGATACTATTTTGGTATGTGCTTTTTGTGTGTTTTTTCTATGCACATAGCCATTCAAAAAAAAGTCTTCCTTTTCTAAAGAACTGTATATGTTTATAATATATATAAAAAGAACTACGTATTCTAGTATTTTCCTCAAAACCTATTAATGCATGTTTAATAGTCAAAAGCATTCACCCACATTAGCTAAAAGAATATTAAAATTTTATCTCCCAACCAATTATGCGTTCACCATCCATTTCCTCTGTCTGTGAACTCTGTTCTCCCATTTCTAAAGCAGTAATAGCGACCCTACAGGACAGGGTTAGAACTGTCTCATAGGTTTTCCAAGGTGGTAATCTGGAAGCAGCATATTGTCTGTGAATTCTTTCTCCTTTAGAGCACCTGGTGGATTGGAACCCCTGACTTTTTTGTTTAGCAGCCAGCTGTCACCAAGACTCCCTGAGGCTATACTGTAGGTTTGCTTTTCTGAGTTAGCCATGACAGCCAGCTTTTTTATGTAGCATGGTCTGAAATTAATCTATTCCTTTGTGTTGCCTACATATTACCATTTGTAATGGAAAGTTTATTGAGTTAAGAGGAAATAAGTAGTTTCAAGGCTATTGTTGTTAGTTGTCATCAAATCGATTCAGATTCATAGTGACCCTGTATTCACGAGAATCCTCTGCCACCCTCACAATTGTTATGCTTGAGTGTATGCTTGCAGCCACCACCAATCCATCTGATTGAGGGTCTTCCTCTTTTATACTGCCCCTCTACTTTGCCAAGCATGCCCTTTTCCAGGGACTGGGCTCTCCTGATAGCATTTTTAGAGTTTGAGGACTAGGGTAAAAAGTTTAGTAGTAATTGAGAGATTTTGAGTGACTTGAGGTAAGGAGCCCTGCTTTCATGTTACAGTAAGGTGACCAGATGTCCCGCTTTTGGCGGCACAGTCCCGATTTTTAACAATTTTTTCCCACATCCTGTGGCGTTTTAAAAAAAAACCCAATTTTGGAAAGAATGCACGACAAGTTAGGGAATACGGTTTTCGGCTGCCATGTGGCTATTTCGCCAGGATATGAGTTTTATCAATGGTGTCCTGTTTTACCAATGTTAAAATCTGGTCACCTTATGTTAGACTGCTGTGAAAACTCTGGGGATGACCTATCTGACATCCTCTGACTACACGATGGGGAAGGAGGGAGAATCCAACTACAGTGAACCTTCGTTTATTGCGGTTAATCGGTTCTAGACCCTACCGTGATAAATGAAATTCCGTGAAGTAGGATTCCTTATTTGTAAATCAAATATTTTCATAGTTAGAGCATAGAGGACATGAAAAAACACCCTTTAGTCACCATTACACTCGTATTACCCAAATTATTAAACGAAAAAGGGAAAATACAGTAAAACATTTTCGACGTTACAATTATCATTTATTATTTATATTATTTATGGCATCTAGTTTACAGTATGCAGAAGAGGATTCTGGTTGAGGTTTGTCTGCTGTAAAACGCTGATAGAGCTGCCTTGCCTTCTCCCGGATGACTATAGAATCCAACGGAATGTTTTTCTTGCGCCTGTCATTGATCCAAACGGCTAGGACAGACTCCGTTTTTACTATGAACTTATTACGACTTGTCATGATACGCTTTGCTTCCTTGTTGAAAGTGAAAGTAGCCGTAGCACGGATGTTTTTTTCCTCTTTACGGATGGAGCGAACGGAAGACTCATTCAAGTAGAAATGGCATGCAACCTCCACGATTTTCTTGCCATCTTTGATCATATCCAAAAGTTTTACCTTTCCTGGATGGTGAGCATCTTCCTCTGGCGCTTATTTTTATTGTCAGAAGGCTTAGAAGAAGCAGCTCGTTTAGGAGCCATCATAGGGCTTAGATAAAATTTCTTAAAAATCGCAAACAATTACAGTACACTGTACAAAAGCAAAAATGCATCTGATACGTAGCTCTGATACGTAGCGATGCAGACAGAAGCGTGTACAGTTTGAGCCAATCAGTGGCAGTAATGACAGAGCATGCGCTGTTACGCAAAAACCGCGATACAGTGAAGCTGCGAAAGTTGAAGCGCGAAGTGGCGAGGGTTCACTGTACCCTGTTTGCCATAAGGCAGAGGTCAGACATGCCTCTGCCCTCCCTCCTTCTAGTTCCCTGTTCTGAGACCAGCCATTCCTCCCATGACACCACAGAATTCACAGACAGTACTTCACGATTAAGGAGGCTTGTTAGGGAAGTGAAAATGCCAGGATCAGAAAACATTAAGGGTAAGCAGCCAAGTTTCCCTTGAGTCCTCAACCTTTCAGCCATGGAGTCCCTTAACCTCTGCCCCCGTGGACCAAGGACCCAGCCCACTGTTCTGCCTCACAGTCAGAGAGTCTTGGTGCTTTGACTCTGTTCTGTATCAGGGTCTTGTTTGTTACCTTGGTCTCTGTGCCACAGTTCTGGTGTTTCGGGGCGTGAGCTCCACCCACCACATTAGACAAGCTCTTCAAGCGTGTCCCACTGACAGTTCTCTCTTAAGGTCATGGGCCTTCTTGTGTTCCTGCTTCTGAGACAGCGTGTTCTCAGAGCCAAGGCAAGGGCAACTAAAACGGACAAATCCCCTCGCTCAATGTTTCACATACCGTATTTGGGTGGTCCCCACCCAGTCATTTGTGGGGGTCATGGACACTTGGATAGAAAAGCCATATTAAGGGATTGTACTTCACTAGAGCTGCTAATTCCACAGGGTCACTGATTTCAACCCACCAGCTGCTCCTCAGGAGAAAAATGAGGCTGTCTGCTCCGAAGTAGGCTCATTGTGAGTCAGAGTCAATGACAATGAGCTTGAGGTGAGGAAAAGATGTTTCACCTAGCCAGTAAAAATGCTTGTTGAATAGGATTTTCACAAGCTTGCTAAATCGTATTTTTAAAGGAAGCCTTCTGTCCCTGGCTTCTTCCTCAACTTCTACTTCCTTTTTCTTTAGAACTCTGAGCTTAGTAGCATTTATTATATCATCAACCTCAGAAGGAAGGGGACATCAAACAGTTTGTGGAAAAATGGAATTGAAAGATAATGGATATTCTCCACAAACTTTGTGAAGTTGCTTTGTCTACTTAAGTAAGCAGAGGAGATTGCTTAGAGACTTGTTACAAACTAAAGTCAGTGAACATACTCTGAAACTACAGCCAGTGCATGATTATCTGCATGGAAGGTGAGAATTCTACCTCAGCCACCCTGCCTCGTGGGTTCTGTGCTGTTAGCCTCTTGTCCAAGGTCACCTATTTGGTAAATGAAAGCTGTGACCCAAACCTCGGTCTCCCCATGTTCAGTGCACTTTGCTCTATTTTCTTTCCTATAAGAACATTTGGAAAGTAAGTTGGACAACTTTGAGCTTTTGTACATCTTATCAAAGTACAATTAAACATATATGTGCAACAAGAATAGTCCATGAAGTTTTGGAGAGCGGATGCTCATTGAAATTCTTCTTGACATTCAGCTGCTCCGAGTTGATTGGTGTTAACTTTGGCATCATTCCTAATTATGTATGTAGAACTTCTGATCTTTCCCCCACCTAGAATTTTTCTCTTGGCAAAATGTCAAGTAATGAGTTTTCCTAGTATTAATTATGTAGAAATTAACATTTTATAGATAGTTCAGAAATCACTTCTTATTAGTAGGCACTGTGGGGGACATGGTAATGAATAAGATGTAGTTTCTGGCTTTAAGGAATTTAATTAGACTTGTCAATGAAACAGACATACATGGAAATACTGGAATATGAGGCACAAATAAATGTCCGTTAAGTACAGAGTAAAAACTTTACTGCATTTCTATTTGAAATATAGTTATCTGGAATATTCCCTCCTAACTATATGTAGAAAATATAATTCTGTTTTCTTCTTCTACCTTCCTACTTTGTTTCTTTTAGTGGACATGTGCATCACCTAGTTGTTTATGTTCAGAGTACATTAAAACCATATTACTCTAAATCATACATTGTTAAAAAATTATCAGTAATAAAATAAAAGCTATATATTATCCTGATTTATCATACTGAAGGCTTCTATATATCAGCACAGATTACTGAGTTAATTTTTTAATTCTTTATATTTTGTACTTTAACGTCAGTAGAATCTTGTATTCATTTTGTTAAACAATCTTTGATGTAATAGTTGAATTGGACTTTTATATGCTTTAGGATAAGGATTTGTAGTCATATCCCTAAATACATATATCATCCTGGGGTATATAAAGACGGAAATTGCAGATCCATGAATAACTGACGCAGGTGGAGGGAAAGGACTGTAAAAACGCTATAGCAATGTCATATGAAGTGCTGGCTGGAGAACATGTAAAAACACTATAGCAATGTCATGTGAAGTGTTGGCTGGAGAACATGTAAAAACACTGTAGCAATGTCATGTGAAGTGTTGACTGGAGAACATGTAAACTAGACACCTCTTGGCCCTGTGGTGAGGGTTGAAGAGCCTGGTGGGTAGAAAGATCTCATGGAGGAATAGCATGTGACTGAAGAATGAGTGGTGTTTGGAAGGGGGAGTGGCTTTCCCTACTGAAGTAATTCTAAAGATAAGGACAGAATGGGTCTGGTCAAAGGAGCAAGAGGTCCTGTTGAGAGCTGATCTTTGGCTTTAACCAAGATATATTAAGAACCTGCTTTAAAAAAAAAATCCTGTATTTTGCTACATTTGAAATTTTTCTTGTATTTAAAAAGAATACCTCTCTGAACACAGGAGAGAAGTTTCACAAACATTTTTAAAATAATTATGGCTTTTTTTGAATTTGGAATATCCAAATATTCCATGAAAGGAAACATGTTTGGGAAGATGAGCATTTTAATTAGAAATGTTAATTTTAAACTATTTTGTATTTCTTACTTAACATCCATCCCTTTTGTAAAGTACAGATTCCAACTACACTGAAGTTTTTGGAATACCCATACACATATTCTTTCTTATCTCTGCTCCTTGGCACCTTTTCCTCCAGGGGCAAGGATCATTGTGCTCATCCTTTGTCAACTGCAAGTAATTCCCTCCACTGTCAGAATACCTTAGATATTATCTCCTGTCAGTGGCTCTCTTTATCCTCCACAGCCTGTTCTGGAGCCTGTCCATGTGCGTCTCTCTCCTGATGCTTGCCCGTCCTGATTGTGCTTATCCTCCATCTTGGACTAGACTTGCTTCTGTCAGCAAACTGTACAAACATTCTTTGAGAGCAGGGCCTGGATCTTAGTTTGTTATTGAGTCCCATGTCCTTAGGACAGACAGACCAGGTTCACACACAACTTTAAGTGTTGGTTGAATAACTTTCATTTTTGAGAGATCATATGTTGAAGTTTACTAAATCCATTTTACTGTTTGGGGTCTTTGCAGATGGAGTTTTATACAGTGTTTGTCATAAATCGACACCGCCTCTCCCAGATGACTATAATTGGTATGTACTAAAATCCAATAGAAACAATGTCTGCTAGCTATATCTGATGTGATTTAATTTCTTGTTTTGTTTTTTCTGCTTTTATTCCCCTGATTATTTTATTTTAATTTTGTTTTTAAAAATTACTTAAATTATCTTATTTATCCATTTTCTGGGTTTATAAGCATCCTGGATAAAAATTCTCATCACCGTGTTTCAATGAATACTTAATTTGTTGTGAGACAGCCATGCTGTTAAAAATGCTGTCTTTTCTTCCCATAACATACTTTAGCTTTCATGGAAAATTTCATTAGTGTGTATAGTTTCGTCTTAGTGATCAGATCTATTAGTTTAAGCAATTATTTAGCTTATCTTTTGTTTGACATTGAATAATCCTAAATTGTATATATTTAATTCAACTACCATTATTTGGTACTTAATCAGCTCCAATCAGTGTAGTAGGAACTGGGAATAACATATGAATAAACCCTGTCTTTTTGTCTCTATCACAATAATTGCAGCATATTTTCTTTTTTTTCTGAGCTGATGAGTTTTATTCATCCTGAGGGGCTTTTAGAAAGTTTGTGATAAAAGAGCTCATGATCTTTTAATTCCATCTTTCCCAGAAAGTTTTAAAGCCCCTTTGTATTTTCAAAACCTATGTTGCTCTTAGCCCAAATTTTAGTAAAAATACATTTTATTCTCTCTTCACACCAGTTTTAATTTAAATCCTAATTGTACATTTAGTGACTCCTAACATAAATATTGATGAAATTGGATTAGGTAACACTTTTTGAACCTAGTAAGATTGAGTCTTACAAATTTTGCATTATGTAAAACTCTATCCTTCATACATATGATAGTCATTGTAGTCATGTTATAATTCCTTTTAAAACCATGGTGACATAACCTTTTGTCTTAGTAGTCTCTGTTGACTGAAATATAATTGCAGTATATTTCAAATCTGGCTGATATAAAATCCTAGACACTTAAAAAAATTTTCAGGCATCTGTTGAGCATATGAGTTACCTAAAAGTTTTGCTTTTGCTTTTTTGGAATATATACACATCTAAGGACAATAGTAGTTATCAGGGCCTTTGGAAAACTAGCTTAGTTACTTAGTATACAGAGTGAGATCCAGCCAGGATATTCCTGGAAGTATTGAGGAATGTTGTCCCAAAGAAGGTCTTCTGAAGGATACTAGTGGAAGGAGGGGACATTCACCAGTTCCAAATTATAAGTGTTTTCTCACAATTCTTCCAGAGACACTTGGGGAAATGTTTGTTCAGAACAAGTGCTCAGCTCCCATCTTTATGACTGAAAATCCAGATCATTGCTTACCTGGGAGAGCTTGTGCTTTGCCTTAATAATTCATCGATGTAATATTCTTGAAAACCATTTATACCTTTTTTTTTTTTTTGAGGGCTGGAGGTGAGGGTAAAGTGAGGAAAGAGAAGGAAGAGAAGTTCTAACAATGCTGACTTCCTGAGACTTTCATAACTTCCATAAACATTCTAAGGGCAGTTTAGATAAAATAGTGATGACGTAAGGATTTTATCCCCCATTTCCTGGTGGTCGTTGGGCTGACATGTTTTCTGGAGTGGCCTGAGTTGTCGGCTGTAATATGGATATCGGATTTGTCAGTCCAGTGATACAGCTTCTGCTTTTTAGGAGGTATGGTTAACCAACTTAAAATCTAAGGGCAATCATTTTGGCTTAAATGTAATTTGATGCTATTTCTAAAATACTCTTTTTTTTAGCAAGGTAGAGCTTGCTTTGACATCAGATGGCAGGACAATAGTATGCTACCACCCTTCTGTGGACATTCCATATGAACATACAAAAGTAAGTATGAAAACCCCCCCAATATTTTAGGAATGTGAAAAAATGAAATAAGTTTGAGGAAATGTTTTTAATTGCTGTTAGAAACCCTATGTTCACTTAGAGCATCCAAAGAGAAGGGGACGGTTTGACTCTCTTTATGTGGCTTAGACCTTCTTTTGGCTTTCTTAAAGACTGTGTACTCAGTACACAACGGGGACCGTTTAGACTCAATTATGGCCTAAAGCCCTGGCAGTGTTTTCGTTAGACGTCAGGCATAACAAGTTTGAATTTACAAAATGCTTCCTATTTTACTCCATATTATAATCTAATACACTGTGAAAAACTAATATGTAGAATGCTGCTTCATAACTTTTATATTGTTGACTCTGATAATCCTTTTAATATTTGGTGAATATTTTTATTCTTGGCTCTTTGTTGTTTTTTTGCTAATTGCTTTATAACCACAACAAACGAGTACAGAGGAGGCCTGTACGAAACAGCACAACATAGGTACAGAGATGGAGGTGTTCCCGTAGCAAGGCTGAAGAGTCCAGTCTCTGGTATTTGGGATTTAGGAGGCAGTCCTTGGTTTTGGATGGCTCACTGGGTGTGTATGCACAATCCAAGCTTTAACTAGATTTGAGCAGAAGGATGGCTACTTGGCCCAGGTAGAAGTAGAGGAGGTGCTTAGTTTCATGTGTCACATAACTACCAAAGTTTCTGTCCACAGTGCAGTGCCAAGTGGGATTGTACTTCTTGTCAAACCTCTTCTTGATGTGGGCCGCAGTGTCCTTCTCAGTGTTGTAGCACACTCCTCCGACATGTCGTCATTTCTGATCACAGTCTTTCGGTCGGACATGGTTAGCGTGAAGCACGGATGAGCACACTGCCACGGTCCTGGGCAGGGGGTGGGGTGGTGGTGGTGTTAGAGCGGCTCAAACACAGTGAGAGGAACTGTGCTACCGAAGCCGTGTCGCATCTCTGTTGGTTGTTTCTTTTGAGATAGTATGAGTATGTATTTTACGGGATTAGTTTATTTTTTTTCAAAATACAGACAAAAATAGAAGCATGGTTTAGTTTTAGTTTGCCTCGTGTTCTTTTTTTTAAGAGATAAATTGTTTTATTAACCAATCATTGATTATTACCTGGAGAGTATATGTGTACTTGCTTTTACATTGGAAAAATGGTTTATTAGTATTCATTACACAATTGCTGTATGTGGGAAAATAGTAGCCAATAATAAAGTCAACTCTCTTTTCAGGCCAATTATCAATCTCTAGATTATAGCAAACATGGAACATTTTTCATTCTAGTCTCTAAATTTGGAGTCAGAAATGTTTATAGAAATAAATATGAGGAATCTGATAAGCTAAAATATGTCCCAGCAAATAGCTTTGAAACCCTAGTAAAAGGCTCCTTAGCTTCTCACCATCTATAAACAGCTTCACAAATCATTTGAAAATCAGCCTAGAGCCAGATAACAACCTGTGTTCCCCAGCTCCATGCTTGCAGTCAACCACTCCTGAGAAAGACCAAGCAGCACTAGTTGTGGAAGATCACACTGAAGCCTGAAGCTTGTACACAGACCTTGGTTCCAGCTCAGTTTTCTGGCTTAGACTCCTCAAGTACTGCTTCCTTCAGAATCTTCACTAGTGAATGTAAGCGAGTGTATGTCTGCAGAATCTTCTTCTTCAGCGCTGCCATCGTTTCTGTGAGGGGGCACGTTGTGAATATCCATCTCAGATGCATTTACTATGACTTTTGTTTTTAAGAGATAGCGTACCATCTTGTCACTGGAAAGGCAAAAGTGACCTCTCAAGGGATCAAGAGTAGCATGGGTAGAATAGAGATTGAAACCAATGGCAACCCCCCAGGAGCCACAGAATAAAAGGTTGTGAATACTCAGCCCCACTTGGTAGTCCACGTGTGCATGGGAGACGAGAGGGCAGGAGCACCGCATGTTCTTGTACATTCTCAAGTATCCTTTTTTTTTAAAGATCCTTTTATACATCAGTTGTATCAAGCGTATTTGTACATATGTTGCCATTATTATTTTCTAAACATTTACTTCTATTTGATCCTTTGGTATCATCTCCTCTTACTCCCCCCAACCTCATGATCCCTTAATAAATTATAAATTATTATTATTTTCATATCTTAAAATGACCACTGTTTCCCTCACCTACAGTTTGGGTCTCTTATTTCTTTAAGCTCTCTTTTATTGTATTTGGTAATGTTTGATTTGATTTTTTGGATTTTTGGAAGAAAATAGCTAGATAATTCAAGCTATCACATGGTACATCTCTGTTGTTATTTTTAAAAGTCATTATTAGGGTCCAGGGTACTGGGGAACAGGTATAAGTGGAATGGCCAAGAGAAACCTACTAGGTGACAAATGAAGAAAGACTTGAAGGAGGTGAGGGAACAAATTATGAGGATTTTTGTATAGTAACCTAAAACAGAAAAACTGTATTTATAGGCTAAAATTCATGATTTTTTAGTACTCCTTAGGGTCAGATAGTAATTTATAAAGATGATTTTATATTTCACTTTGTACAAAAGAGATGACCCTTAAAATAACTATCCAAGGGACTCTTTAAAAAAAGTATATAAATACTTCCTGTTTGGAGGGCTGAAAAATAAATGATAATAGCTGCGGTTTAAAGGAGCTCTGGTAGCACTGTCTGGTAATTGCTGGACTGCTAACCTCACGTTGGCAGTTCAAATGCACCAGCTACTCTTGAGACAGATGAAGCTATCTGTTCCCATATGGCTTCACAGTCTCAGAGCCCTATAGAGTCATTCTGAACTGGAATTGACTCAATACCAGTACTTTTCAGTTTGACTTACCATTGTGATTATACCAGGAATAGCAAAATATACTACTTCTTATTATATCCCTTAATCTTTAACAGAGTCTTATTAAGTAGATATAGAGCTCTGGTGGTGTGGTTGTTAAGTGGTCAGCGACTAAGTAGAAGTTTGGCTGTGAAAATCCACCTGTGGCTCTGCAAGAAAATACGTGGGTAGTTTGCTTCCTTGAGGATTATAGTCTAGAAAATGCTATGAGGCAGTTCTACTCTGTCACCAATGATCACTATGAGTCAAAATTTACTTGGTGGCACCCCAGCAGCATAAGATAGATATTACTTCTCTGATTTATAGAAAGAGAATATAAGAGGCTAAATAATTTGTTTAGTCACAGACCTATTAAGTGGGGGAGTCAGTTCTTTTAAAAAAATTTTTTATGTGTATAAGAAAGAGATTTATATACAAGAGCAATTGAACATTGAGAAAACATCCCAGCCCAGTCCAGATGAAGTCCATAAGTCTGATACCAATCTATAAAGTCCTCTTCAGACTCAACGAAATAGATGCAATGATGCTGAATGTAGAAGATCACAGGGCAGTGGGTAGAAAATCTTTGGATCCAGTGGCATTGGAAACATCTCAGCGCTGGCAGGGGTCTCTACATGGCTCTCTGCACACAGGGCTGCATCAGGGTGGGTCCATGTGTCTTGTCAGCTGCTATGTATCCCAGGGTGTGTCAGCCTCATCAGTAGAGAGTCTCCAAGGGAGTGAACTGAGAGAGAATTCTCAGGAGAAGGCCATGCCCACACAGAGGCCTCATTGGCTATGATCTGATTGAGAAGCTAGATTCCACCCCTACACTCTTAATCCTCAAATTGACAAACGATTATATCTACCACAGACCACCCCTTGTTGATTTGACACTTTAACATAACTCTGTAACCATACATAATTTTCAAACAATAATGAAATCATATCTGTACCTAACAGGATGAAACTAAAATGTATACAATTCAATATGTGCCACCCTCATTTAAACATAACATTTTATAAATGAACAAAACATCAGGGCTAGTGGTGAGAGTCGAGACACCGGGAGGGTGGAGTATAAAGAGGGAACCGATTGCAGGGATCTACATAAAACCTCCTCCCTGCGTGACAGACAACAGAAAAGTGGATGAAGGGAGACGTTGGACAGTGTAAGATATGACAAAATAATAATTTATAAATTATCAAGGATTCATGAGAGAGTGGGTAGAAGGAAGGGAGGGGGAAAAATGAGCTGATACCAAGGACTCAAGTAGAAAGAAATGTTTTGAGAATAATGAGGGTAACGAATGAACAAATGTGCTTTATACAATTGATGTTTGTATGGATTGTGATAAGAGTTGTATGAGCCCCCAATAAAATGATTTTTTAAAAATGAACAAAACAAAAATATCCTATGCTTAAGAATTGCCATTAAGTAACAACAACTCCTTAATCCTATAATCCTATGAATATATTCACCCACCTATGAAAGTTTGTAAGCCAACCACTTCATGCCTTTATACCTCCAATTTTGGGTATCCAATTTCTATACTGCCCACTTACATCAATCCAGTGCTCTGAAAAATCATATTTTTCGACGTGAAGAATCTTCATTCCAGTTGGAACCTTGTGAAATCCGCATCCCTAAGCAAAGTCAAATTGGGATAGGCCATCCATAAAGTCAACAGCAATATGCACCAGTTCACAGGCTCAAAAATCTTCTCTTCATCTGGTCGGGTTCTGGTCAATTCAATGTAGCTGCCTCTCTTAGCCTCACCAGTGTGTCCATTGGTCACCTTGCCTTAGACCATGGCCCTATCACAAATTCTCAACAACCTTAGTCCCTTGTGCTAGGTCATGAACTTCAGACCGGTCAACCAACCCACTCTCGTCTCTCCTCTAATTCCTGTAAACCATGTCCACAGGTGTCAGTGGCCAGACTCAAATCATCTCCCTATTTGCTGCTTTTCTCCCACTTCCACTCAATAAGTGGATCCAGGTGGTCACCTCGCAAGCATTTCAGGCTGCCCATAGGCTTCCTTTAACGTTTAGTCCTAGAGTTTTCTTCATGGTTCCAGATTTTTTCCCAGCTTCTGACAAAGACCATTAGAGTTCAAACTTCAAAGAGTTCCTTTTTATTCCCTCTTCAGTCAATCTTATCCCCAGGCATGTCTCTTGGAATGCAAATGTCCTGAGTACTCCAAAGCACTGGGTGGGGCTTATATTTTCAGAGCCTTTTTTGTGTCCTAAACACATCTAAAGATCAAATTAATGTCTCGAGGTAAGTGGGCTTACAAACTCTATTTCCATACTTCCCCAAATAATTTCTTTCAACAATTATATCAATATATCGATAAAAATAAGCAGAAAAAAATCAGTATAAATAAAGTAGACTCAAAGTAGAATCAGATACTCTATGGGGGAGTCGGTTCTTGACCTCTTCAGTGTATCTTTTACTCATTTCTAAGTGGTTCCTTATTTCTGTTTATGCTCATTTGCTACTTATAAGTCTAGCTATGGAAACCTTTCATAATCTGGTTTCTCTGTCTTCATTCTTTAAAAAATGACATCTTGTGTATTCTTGCTAGAATTCCTTTCCTCACAATGTTTGTTCTCCCTCACAGACTGCCTTCTGCTTTCTGCGACAGTGCTTGGTCTTTCCTTCCTCCTGCTGCTTTCTGAGGTCTTTGCCACTTGGCAATTGTGCAGTACTTGCTCAGTGATGTCGTGTTCATACACTTAATGTGTTGCTTCTTAAAGTGATCTTATTATTTTAGTTATATGAGTTAAATATTAGTCAAGTTTTATCCATAGTTTGTAGGTTTCTTGAGATGGAGACCTTATATTCTATAACATTTAATGCAGTGGTAGAATGCAGTAGTGTCAATAATATATGAATATAAAAAAGACAATTTTATTTGTACTGTTTATTATCTGGTTAATTCAGACTTTCATTGTATTATAATACATGTGTATGGAATCCTGGAAGCAAGTTAATGCTACATTCTTGTGTTTATGCTACAGACTTTACTATCCCTTAATATTTAAAATGTAGGTAACCTGACCTGTCAAGGCAATGAACTCAGAGTTCATTGAGCCATTCCTACTGATGGGAATATGTTGTTATCACTAAAGTGTGTTTGGAAGGCGTTTGGTTTTTAGTAACCAGTTTGGGAGGAAAACAGTTCTCAAGCCACCATAAACCAGCATTTGATGACATTTTATTCATCTGATATAAAAACATTAACATTCTGATTTCCATTGTATGTAAGAAATGCCATTTATGAATGGTTAATCACCTTACGTTATAGAAGGGAGAAATTGTGAATTTTTAAGTTAACTTGTAATAAAGAACACAACTTGCAATTTTTTCAGATAAAAAATATAAGTGCTTTCATTTTTTTATCCCAAATAATAAAGTATTAAGAATTTTATCATTGAAAAATTCTGAAAATTAATTGTGAGAAGAAAAATGTTTCAATTTTTTAAATGATTAATGCAATTATGTGATACTCTGTTTTGATAACTACCCATGTATAACAAATCATTGAAAAGGGGGCTTGTTTTATTGTAAATGCAATTAATACTAGTGAAAATTCCCACATTTTGATGCCTTTTATTGATTATTTTGTAGCCTATTCCTCGGCCAGATCCTATACATAACAGTGAAGAAACACATGATCATGTGCTGAAAACTAGATTAGAAGTGAAAGATGAGTCCCATAAACAACAAGGACCTATGATAGAACAACTTAGCAAAATGTTCTTTACTACGAAGCACTGTTGGTATCCTCATGGGCAGTAAGTTCTATTTCTCGTCTTTCATTTATACAGCTAAGGGAACATACAACATTCTTTGCATTAACAAACTTGTATAATTGTATTCTATATGGGGAGATTAATTCTCAGTTTGAACATCTACTATGTTATATTTTTTAATTTACACATTTTATAGTGAAAATGAATACTACTTTTTTCCTTTAACAAAGCTTTCTTGAATTTTCTATGAATTCTTGAAAATTGATACTACTATGATATTGTTCTACTGCTCAGCTGTTAGTTTGTCTTACTTTGGTGGCTCACATGTTGCAGTGATACTGGAAGCAAGGCCACAAATAGTTCAAGTACCATCAGGCTCATTTGTGGGAGACAAGTTTCATTAGAGCCAGATCCTTCTACCAGCCTACTTCTGAAACTATTAGTAAGAAATCTGTGAATTGCGGTGGAACATTATCTGATACGGTGCTGGAAGAAGAGTCTCTCAAACTGGAAGACATTGGGGAAGACCTGCCTCATAGTGGAGTTGACCTTAGTGATGTGGATGGAGTAAAGCTTTGGGAACCATCATTCCCTGATGTGGCACGTCTCACAATGACAAACAAAGCAAACAGCTGAAACATCCATTTAATAATCAGAATGTGGAATGGATGAAGTATGAATCTAAGAACATTGGAAGTTTTCAGTGATGAAATGGAAAGCATAAAGTTGGGTATCCTAAGCATTAATAAACTGAAATTGCTGTCTTAAATTGATAAAATACATGGTCTACTATGCTGAGATGATAAATTGAAGAGGAATGCCATTGTATTCATTGCCAAAACAACATTTCAAGATCTATTTTGAAGTAGAATGCTGTCAGTGACAAAATAGACCTACAAGGAAGACCAGTTAATACAACTTTTACTCAAACTACACATTAGCCACTAGTGCCAAGGATAAAGTAGTTGAAGATATTTACCAACTTCTGCAATTTAAAACTAATAAGAGATACAATCAATATGTATTGAGGATGATTGGGAATTAGAATGCAAAAGTTGGAAGTAAAAAGGAAAAATTAGTAGTGGAAAAATAATGGCTTTTGTGATGAACACAGTGATGGAAATTTTGTAAGATCAATTGCATATTTATTGCAAATACTTATTCTGTACAACATGAACTATATACATACAACATCATTAGATAGACTCAATTTGACTATGTTTGTTTAAAGAAAACATGGGGAAGCTCAGTATCAGTCAGAACCAGGCCAAAGTCTGATTGTGGAACAGACCATTAGTTGCTTATATGCAAGTTCACATTGAAGCTGAAGAAAATTAAAACAAGTCCCTGAGAGCCAGAGCATAACTGTGAATGTATCCCACTTGAATTTAAAGACCATTCCAAGAATAGATTTGATGCTTGAAGACTAATGATCAACGACCAGATGGATTGTGAGATAACAAAGATAAGAAAGCAAAAGGTCATTGAAAAGACAGGAAAGAAAGAAGGGCCCGGAGGGAGGTCAGAAGAGACTGAAACTTGCTTTTAAACTGAGAGTACCTAAAGCAAATAGAGACGTGAAGTAAAAGAGTTGAGCTGAAGATTTGAAAGGGTGGTTTATGGGAGCCAAGTGCAGTATTATAATGAAATGTGCACAGAGCTGGAGTTAGAAAACCAGAAGGGAGAATGTGCTTGGCATTTCTCAATCTGAAGAACAAGAAAAAATTCAAGCTTTCAGTGCAATATTAAAAAGCTTTGTGTGCAAAATATTGAACGACAGGAAGCATCAAAAGAAGATTGAGAGAATACACAGTTACTGTACCAAAAAGAATTGGCCAATACTCAGGCACATCACATGATGAAGAACCAGTGGTATTGAAAGAATAAACCTAAGCTGCGCTGCAGTTGTTGGTGAAGAGCAAGGCTCCAGGGATTGACAGAATATCAATGGAACTACATCAACACCGGGATGCACTGCTGGAAGCATGTGCTCATCTATGCCAAGACTTTTGGAAGACAGCCACTTGGGTGATCATCTGGAAGAGATCCATATTTGTGTCCATTCCAAAGAAAGTGACAAATAGATTGCAAATATCTAAAAGTATCCTTAATGTCATGCAAAGAAAATTTTGATGAAGAAAATACAAAAACGGTTATAGCAACACATCAATAGGGAGCAACCAGAAACCTAAGCTGGATTCAAAAGAGGATGTGGAACTAAGGATATCATAGCTGATGCAAGATGGATCTTGGCTGAAAGCAGAGAGTAGCAGAAAAATGTTCATTTGTGTCTTATTGACTATGCTAAGGCATTCCACTGTGTGGATCATAACAAACTATGAATAACATTGAGAAGAATGGGAATTCCAGAACACTTCATTGTGCTCATGTGGGACCTACACAATGACCAGGACATAGTTGTTTGAATAGAACCAGGGACTACTACTACATGGTATAATTAATCAGGAAAGGTGTGTGAATCAGGGTTGTAGCCTTTCACCATACTTATTCAATCTGTGTACATGATAAATAATCTGGAGTCCAGCCCAGGAGAAGCTGGACTATATGAAGAAGAATGTGGTACCTGAATTGGAGGAAATCTCATTAACAACTTGCAACATGCAAATGACACAATTTTGCTCCTTGAAACAGAAAGGTCCTTAAAACATTGATGAAAATCAAAGGCTTCCACATGGAAGAAGCACACCAGCCTGTGTCATCATGAGGTGTCGATGGGATCAGGTATCAGACATCAAAGACCCAGAACAAAAACTCATAATGTGAATGAGCAGGGTTGTGCGGAGTGGAGGCCCAAAGCCAATCTGTAAGCAATTGGACATCCCCTTACAGCAGGGTTGTGGGGAGAAGATGGGCTAGTCAGGGTGCCGTATAGCACCGATGAAACATACAGCTTTCCTCTGGTTTTTTAATGCTTCCTACCCCTCACTATCATGACCCTAATTCTACCTTACAAATCTGGCTAGACCAGAGCATGTACATGGGTACAGATAAGAGCTGGAAACACAGGGAATAAAGGACAGGTAAACTCCTTGGGACCAATATTGACAGAAGTGATACCAGGAGGGTAAGGGGAAGGTGAGGGGAGAAAGGGGGAACTGATCACAGTGACCTAAACCCCCTCCCAGGGGGATGGACAACAGATAAGGGGGTAACGGGAGACATCCGACAGTACAAGACATGAAAAGATAATAATTTATAAATTATCAAGGAGGGAGCAGGAGGGAGGAGAAATAAATGAGGTGCTGATATCAAGGGCTCAAGTAGAAAGAAAATGCTTTGAAAACGATGATGGCAACACGTACAAATGTGCTTGAGATAATGGATATATGTGTGGATTGTGATAAGAGTTGTACGAGCCCCCCGTAAAATGATTTAAAAAAAAGAAAGAAATAAAACCATATATTTGTTCTATGGTTAAAGAAAAAGAAAATCAAGACTTCATTGGATTACATCTCTACATAAAGAGATGAAAAATCCTTATAACTGACTTGTGGGATTCAGCCCCACATCTGGAAGAGTCCTAAGGTGTAGTATTAAGTTAAATTTGGAGGGGAGGGGAGGGGCCATCCCCTACCTGCTGCTACAAGTACTACCCACGGGTTCAGTAAGCACAATTGTATGGTTGAGATATATAAGTATTATATTAGAGTCATTGAGAACATGAGAGATACAATAATGCGGTTAGACACATTACATGGTAGCATTGCTCACCTCAGCCCAGCTTGGCGGCCCATGTGGAGAGAGGGGTAAGGGAAGGGAGGGCAAGGGAACAAGGGAAAGGGGGAAGAGAGAGGTCAGGGAGAGCTCTATATTGCTGACCCATGCCTATATACCTTTTGGGGGCATGATTATAGAATCACATGTCACAGGAAGGGGCAGTACAATAGGCATACACATTGTAGGAAGGGGATCTATGATAGGCATAAGCATAACAGGAAGGGGATGAGCTAGGGGTGTGCCCATAGGAATGGGAAGGTCTAGGGTTATACATGTGACAAGATGGGCGGACCCTAGATTCATAATGGCCACCTAACCTTGGTCATCCTTGGGTGGGTTTGACCTCTCTGGTGTCTCCTACAAGGAAACAGACAGCTACTATCCTTATCAGAAGGGAGTGAGCCCTACTTGTTGTGGGATAAGCAGTGGTGTCTGCCTTGTGTAGATGGCTGATTGCTCTTAGGGAGAATGACCCCTAAATCTACTCCTGACTACCTCCAAGTGTATAGTCATTCTCAAGCAGCTAAGTCTGGCATATATTTGGGGGAGACAGCTTGAGAGAAATCCTTCTGTTTCCCACACTAAGGGACAACTGTGAAACTGTAGGGAAGAAATTAAGAGGCAAACAAAAGCTGTGGGGTGGTCACCTCCTTGGTGTTGGGAACTATGTCCTAGCAGGAGAGAAAATGTATTCTTATGTCAACGTACATAATCTCAGACATGCAAGCCCCCATAACTACAGGTAACCATATACATTGCAAAATGGTCTATACCCTAACTGTCGAGGTTCCCAAGTTCATTGGAGGAGTAACCTAACAACAGTGCTGGAGGTAGGTAAGGGTGAGTGACTGTCCCCTGAGCCAGGGAGAACAATTGCAACATATCTGCTCCTAGAGTTAAAGTTGTTGGCCAGATGGCAATCAGCCTTGTGCTTGTAAAAGTTAGCACTATTATGGGAGGATACTGTGGGGATTAATCTTACTTATCAAGATGTGTTTGGGACTCTTCTCTAACTCACAAGTGCAAAGGGCTCCCTCCACCCAGAACCCTGGCCTTCCAGGCTTCTTAAATATGAAAATCAAGAATTGGTCTGCATATACTCTCTTCCTATTTCTGTTTCTTGCACTGAGTCAATAAGCAACATCATGCCAAACAGAAATATTGAAGTTGTCAAGGATTTAATTTTACTTGATTCCATAAGCAGCAGTAAAAAAATCAAACACATATTTCTTTAAGCAAATCTCTTTAAAGTGTTAAAAAGCAAAGATGTCATTTTGAGGACTAAGGTGTGCCTGACCTAAGCATGGCTCAGGCACATAGGGTCAAGCACATCTTAAGTCCTCAATGCCTCATGCATTTGAGAACTGGACAATGAACAAGGATTACCGAATAAGCATTGCTGCATTTAAATTATGGTGTTGGTGGAAAATACTGAATATCCCATAACCTGCCAGAAAAACAAAAAAAAAAGTGTGTTGGAAGAAATACAGTGAGAATGCTCTTTAGAAGTGAGTGTCACAAGAATCATCTCACATAATTTGAACATCTTTATAGTGAGGCCAAACCAAACTAAACTGCAGTGGAACTGATTCCAACTCATAGCTACCTTATAGGACAAGGATGAACGCCTCCTGAGGGTTTCTTTTAAATTATAGTTTTATTGGCACTCCTTCCACGTACACACAATTCAATAGTTCAGTCATATCAAGAAAGTTGGACAATCATTACCACAATCAATTTAAGCACCCTTTTTTGTTGTTGCACTCATTGTAATTATTATTTTTTTAACTGTGGCAAAAATATACCAACACATTCTCCAACTCAACACCTACATGTCTATTTCAGTGCCATTGATTATATTCTGTTATATAGCCACTACTGAGATCCTTTCCAAATTATTCCAGCATCATTAACATAACTTGATGCCTCTTGAACGAAAACCTTCTTCCTTCACCCATGGTAGTGGTCAACTTTGGATTCTCTCCCCGCTACCCCCTCCCCTGCCTCATAAAGTACCGTATATACTCGAGTATAAGCCAACCCGAATATCTGCCTAGGCACCTAATTTTACCACAAGAACTGCGTTAAAAATGTGCTGAAGAACTTGGCTTATACATGAGTATATACAGTAATTTTACAAGAATCGTCAAAAAACATGTATTTTATCCCAAAATATTCTTAAATCAGTAAAGAAAATAAGGAAAGACAGAAAAGCAAACAAAATTTTCCATGGTGTCATCAGTCATAGATAATCATTGCTACCAGTGTATTTCATTTTTCAACCCTACATGGATTTTATTAGTTTGCATATTTTTATATAAAGTCGCCATTTACTGATGGCAGTAAGTGTGAGTATAATGATAGAGTATATACAAACTATATCCTGCATCCCTTCTTAATATCATGGCTAGTTTATATTTCTTGTAGGATTTCCAGAAGAGGAATAACTAGATAAAAGTTATTAATATTTAACATTAGAAATATGTGTTGTCACATTACTTTTGAAAAGTATTGGTTCAGCTCTTCACACCCATTTTCGCAATGGGCATTAGGGTTTTTAAAATACTAGTGAATCAGAAGGGTTGTGGGGAGGAGACGAGCCAGTCAGGGTACAGTATAGCACCGTTGAAACATACAACTTTTCTCTGGTTCTTTAATGTCGTCTTCCCCCGCCGCCCACCCCCCACACTATCATGATCCCAATTCTGCCTTACAAATCCGTCTAGACCAGAGCATACACACTGCTACACATAAGAGCTGGAAACACAGGGAATCCAGGACAGATAAATCCTCAGGATCAGTAGTGAGAGTAGTGATACTAGGAGGGGAAGGGGGAGAGAGGGGGAACCGATCACAATGATCTACATATAACCCCCTCCCTGGGGAATGGACAATAGAAAAGTAGGTAAAGGGAGATATTGGACAGTGTAAGACATGAAAAAATTATGATTTATAAATTATCAATGGTTCATGAGGGTGGAAGGGGGGGGAAGCCGATACCAAGGGCTCAAGTAGAAAGAAAATGTATTGAGAATGATGATGGCAACAAATGTACAAATGTGCTTGACACAATGGGTGTATGCATGTATTGTGTTAAGAATTGTATGAGCCCCCAATAAAATGATTTTTTAAGAATACTAGTGAAGCACAAAAGCAAATAAAAGGTTCCTCCTTGCTAAATTTGCATTTCTCCTATGTTTTAAGACTATCGTACATTTTTCCATAAGCATATTACTAATTGTATCCTACTGTATATGAAGATGATTTTACAGCATGAGAAGCTTCTATTTAGAGCAAAACATTCCCGTTTAAATGAAACTTTAAAATGTTCACTGTGTTTACAATGTGGTGGCTCTTTATTGTCAGGATGAATAGTCATTAATTTTTAAGGGTTTGTTTTTTTTTAAAGTTTTAAGATCAATACAGATTAGTATGCTGAAATTATTTTCAGGAGCTAAGTAAATTAATTACTTATGTGTTAGAATATAATTTTTTATCATTAGGAATTATGGCATTTTTATTAAGGAATATCTATGTACTTTCATTGATTTAAAAAATTAGTTCTATTAGGCAGCAGGAATTTAATCTCTCTATCTAGAACAGTTAACTTTTATTAAAATGATCCTATATTTTTTTTTAAGGTATCACAGACGTCGTAAGAAATTGAATCCTCCGAAAGACAGGTGATTTTGAGGTTCTCATTAGGAATCGTAGAGAAATATTGCCTTTTGCCTCATTTGCCACTTGAGAAAAATATCCGATGTAGTCCCTACTATGTTATAAATAAACTAATTAAAAAAAACATTTCTTATGTTAAAATGTGGTATTTCTTTATGGGCCTTAAGAAATTTCTTGTTTGACATTCTCATTTAGTAGAATCTATTATACATCTTTATTTTTCCTTTGAGAAACTAGTCTATTTCTTATGTCAAGTAAGATTTTTGTATCACCAGTCAAACATTGTTAGTGTTATAAATATGCTTACTAAAACTGTATGTGATTGCCCTCTTCCTAAAGATTTTTGATGGCCTTCTAGAGTAAATTGAAGTACACCCAGAACGTAGACGTTAACAGTGTTTCCTTTTTAGTAGCTTCAGAAGGAAATAATTACATCAATTACATTTTAAACAGTTTCTACTAACTCCTATGTTCCTTATATACTGTATTAGTTTCGGTACTTTAGAGAAACAAATCCACAGAAACTCATGTAAAAGAGAGAGTTTTATATAAAGGTTAACTGCATCAAGAAAACATCCCAACCCAGTGCTGCCCAAGCCCACAAGTCCA